TCCAATGGACACAGTTCTGTTCTCATCTTGACTTAGCAGCATTCAGCAAGGGTGACCTTCTCTCTCTTAAAAGGCTCTGGCTTTTGGTTTTTCTCCAGTACCGGGAACCGAACTCATGACCTTGCGCTTGCCACGCAGGCGCTTTGCCACTGAGCTAAATCCCCAGCCCCTAAGGCTCTGACTTCTGAGAGCTCTTCTACCCTTGCTTTCTCCTCATCCAGTGCAATTCACATCTTTTCAGTCACAGCCTTCTCTAAATTCAAACTGGGTTTCTCCTGGCTTCGTATGAGCTCCCCGCTTTTCCTTTTTAATCCAACACTGTCTAACAGAAATTTCTGAGGAGGAAATGTTCTCTACCTGTGCTGTCAAGTGGGGCTGCCACTAGCTACAAATAGCTACTGAATGTTTGAAATGTAGCTACTGTGACTCAGGAACTGAATTTTAAATTTTGTTTCATTAATTTCTGTTGCCATATATGGCCAGTGGCCACCATAAGGGACAGCACAATTTCTGACTGTTTTACTAGGTGAGCTATGCTTGGCTTTGAAAAACAGTTTTATGTTTATGGTTTCCTGACCATTTTGTTGTTGTTGATGCTAGGGATTGAACCCAGAGCCTTCACACTAAATTATATCCCCAGACCTTTTTACTTTTAATTTTGAGACAGGGTCTAATTTGCTTAGCTGCCCTAGCTAGGTTTAAACTTGCGATCCTCCTGCCTCAGCTTCCCAGAGTGCTGGGATTGCAGGCATGTGTCACCACACCTGGCTTGATCTTTTTAATTTTTATCTACAGCTCAGACCTCTGCACAGAGCTCCAGGGTTTCATCTGTCTGATAACATGGATAATGGTTCTTTTCTCAGCTGTCACTACTTCAGAGTACAGTAGGTTTGCTAAAGCCAAAAACTGAGTCATTCTTGATTTTTTCCCTCTTCTTCACTCTCCCATATCTAAGCCCTAAATAAGTTCTATCTCCACATTACTTTTGGAGTTTGTCCTTTCCACCCGTCTCCACTGCAGCTCTGCAGTCCAAACCATCACCATTTCTAGCCTTGGTTGCCTGCAGTAGTCTATTCCCACCTTGAAGCCAGCTTCAATCTGTTATCTGCACAGCAAGAGGCCGAGTCTTCTCAAAACCTCAGCTGAATCATGCCCAAGTCCACTTAAAACGATTCAGTGTTTGGCCACTGCCGTTGAAATAAAATCCGAGTTCCTTCTCTTGGGATTTATGGCTCTGGGACCTGCTCTCCATTCCCATCCATGTTGCGCTTTTTCCCCTTGTGCTTTATGCTCTTGTCCTTGTGGCCCATAATACTCTGTGTTGTGTCTTCTGCGGGCGTTTTTCTACCCTCAGTTCAGTGAGGAGCTTCTCCCTAGGCATTGATCCAAACAGGCTCATTTCCCTTTGCTTATTGTTGATCTCAGCACGTTTCCTCAGACTGTGTGCTCTTCCGACCTGTAATTACAGTTTCCCTGTAACCTCCTCACTCCCTGAGTAGCCCACCAGCTCTGACAGCAGACATCTGTGTAGCTACCCTTTATACATCTCATACTAGTGCATCATTGTTCACAGTAGGGGCTCAATAAATATTTGTTAAATGAATGATTAGATGAAACAGCTGATGATTCAGTTTATAGGTGGACAGATACAGTTATCCTTTGGTATCTCTGGAAGCTTTATTTCAGGACCATCCACCCACAGATGCTCAAACCTTTATTAAAAACATCCTAGTATCTGAACACAACCTACCCATATCCTCCTGTAACTTAAATCATGTCTAGGTGGCTTGTGATACCCAATGCAGTATAAATGCTATATAAATAATTGTTCTACTGTATTGTTTAGGGAGTAATGGTGAGAAAAAGTCCAATTATCATTCAGCGTTTTTGCTAAGATCAAGTCTAGGAAAAAAGTCTACCTGTTCAGGACAGACAGGAAGCACACAGAACCCATGAACACAGAGGGCCAACTATCTACTTTAAAGCCATTGCTTTTAAAGCCCAATTTAAAATTTGTGCTTTAAACAACACCAAGCAGATGACTCGGCTCCCGCCAGCTGGGACTGCTTACTCTCACGAAGTTTCCAGTCCTGGTCTGGCAGGTTCCTCAGCCTTGGTTGTGCACCGGAATCACCTGCAAAAACTTTCAGCTGTTCTGATGCCCGTCTCTCACCTGCAGAGATTCTGACTTAATGTGGTCCAAGCTGCATTCTGGACACTGGGATATTTAAAGCTCCCCTGTGATCCTAAGTGTTACTGAAGCTTTGGTGCCATAGAGGAAGGGAGAACCACGGTGGGAGGACGTGGGAGCCCATGTTCTAAGCCATTTTGTCAGCGGTGAATTCCACCTGCGGTGACAGAGGTTATTCATCAGAGGTCCAGCCCAATGCTTTGAGGTTCTTCTGCAAAGTATACCAGGCTTTTTCAAGATTGTGACTATGCACGAGGAGGGAAGAGGGCTTGTCTGTGAATACCTGTGTTTCTGATTGGTGTCCCCGGGCACTGTGAGGTCTCCTTTGGGAATTCCTTGAGCACCGGGTCAGCCCTCAGCCGGCCCAACCTCCTCACCTCACTCTCCTGTGCTCCCCGCAGCTGATGTGCTCACGGGTCCAGCTTCGGGCTTGGCTCTTTCTTCTCCACGAGCTGATCAGGACAAATAGGTCACCAGCCTTAGCACGCTCACGCTTGGCATATTTGAAAGTGAATTAGTAAGCAGATAGTTATGACTGATAATCAGTAACCATAATGAATAACTAATATTATCAATAATGCAACGGGCCCTGTGCGTTCCCCATTTTCACTCATTTTCCACAAAAATATTTGCTTGTTCATGGGTCAGCACTTTGGGGCTGTAGAGCCTCACCCTCCCAGCACCTTCCTCCGCTGGCCCAGTCTGCAAGGACGGCTCTGTACCATGTGACATCTGTGCCTGCGTTCTGGCTTCTTAGGGGACGGTGCAGCGGGGGTGCATCCTCTCCCCTCCCGTCTGTCCCGACAGGTCCCCCACAGCCTGCCTCCTGAGTAAGGCCCCGGAGACCACCCGCGTGCGCTAGAGGTGAGCTTTCAGATGCCGACTCACACCCACTGGTGGCTTGTCCTATTGTTTACTCCTTCCAGCTGAGCCGGTTCCCTCCCGCCCTGGTCCCTTGCTCTAGCCCTGTGAGTCTTCACCTTCCGTACTCCTCCAACCACCTTCGCCGCTCCTGTCATTTCCTTGCAACCCCTGCACGGACATTTGCTTAACGTGTTTGCTGAAGTTGCCTTGATTGCACACAAAAACAATACTCTTTCCCTTTAGACAGTCATAGATTTGATGTGTAACTTTTATTTCCCCACTGAACATTAAAATAAATGCATAATTATTAAATAAAATAGTTGTGTGTGGTCTAGACTCACACAGCACCCCAGGGGGTCCCTTGTACCACACTTTGGGAAGTGCTTGGCCCAGGCTCCCAACCGGCGTCTGCTTATCCTCATCTTAAGCCCTCCCTACCCACCCTGCATACACATGCTTAGGAGACATAGAGCTCGAATCTCTGTGCCATGTCCAACATTTCAGTGAAATTTCATCGATAAACGAGTCATTAAAGCTAATATAATGTGTGGGGTAAGAATGTGACCGAAGAAGCTGGATTCAAGTCCCAGGTCTTCCATCTACTGGGTAAGTCGTTTCCCCTCAGGCAGCTCAGGGTACACGGTGAGGTTAAAGAAACTAATATAATTTAAGGCTTATTAGAACAGACTTTGCACGTGGTAAATGGTATATGAAGTTAGATATTGTTATAGACTGTGAGCTTGGACAATGGAAGTATGAAGAAAAAAAGTAGTCCATGAGTGTACTAGGCATCTTTTCTTTTGAGAAAAGTCAGCTAGGCAATCAATCCTGACTCTTGTTTAATCCTCTGGGAAGTTCTGTGTGCATTTATTACTTCGTGATATCAAGGTTTTTTGACTCTGGAGGCCTTTATAGAATGTGCAGTAATTTTAAATGGCAACCAACTTACTGCAATTCAGTTATTCAAACTGGACACTGCATGCACATTTGAAAATGATACTTCTTTCCCTTCCATTCTCAAAAATTTATTTCTTGGGGCTGGGGATTTAGCTCAGCTGCAAAAGCACCTGCCTGGCAAGCGAAAGGTCATGGGTTCGGTTCCCGGTACTGGAGAAACCCCCCCCCCAAAATTTATTTTTTATGTGGTTTATTATCACTACTTCAACTGAGTATTTTCACTAAGTTTTGAGCACAGCAAAAGTATATTTGTGTGCAGATTTTTTTGAAGTGCTAGAGGTTGAATGCAGGACATGCTAGGCAAGTGTTTCATCCCACAACCCTAAGCCCCATTCCGATGACAAAGAGGCTTTTATTTATGACACTGGACAGAAATGGCTCTTTTAAAAATAAACTATAAAGCTGTCAATCTATTTAATAAGTTTTAATATTTAATAATGTTTTCCAGATCTCAAAATGAACACTATCTCTTCCTAGTCTTATTTTAAAATAATTAAAGCAGCAGTTATAATACTTTAAAATATCTTTATTACATTAAGTTGAACATTATCAATTACATTTATGAAGAATAACAAGGAAGAATAAAGTTATATAGTATTTGAACAAAATATCTCAATTTTAACTATAAAGCCCAATCACAAAAAACAGTACAGTAACAACCCACTCAATATACATCATCATTATTAGGCTGTCTCTGTTAGGAAGGCCATCGTGTTTGTGGTGTCACATGCCTGTATCCCAGCACTTTGGGAAGTTGAGGCAGGAGGAGAAATTGCAAATTTTAGTCCCACCTGGGCAATTGAGACAGGCCCTATCTCAAAATAAAAAGGGCTGAGGATGTACCTCAGTACAAGGCCTTAAGTTCAATCCCCACTGCTGAAAAAAAAAAAAAAAAATCCACCTAAAACTACAATCAATTCTTTAAAAATTAATTGTACTTTACCGTTGCCAAAGATTTTTTTAAAGATGTACTTTGGAGATAAAATGATTAAAATTACTTTCTGAGGTCATGTTAATAGGTTCTAAATGCTAAACAAAAATAGTATGAAGTGACTCTGCACGTAAAATTGAAGCACTTTCTTCCTGAAGCTCTTTAGCCAGCTTCTAACGGCTGTCCAAGGTCCAATGGGAAAGGCATAGAATGGGAACCAGGATCTTTCATTTCTCCTCCAGCACATGTGCTAAGCGAAGTTAGGCCAATGTTTTTAACCTTCCGGATCTCCAGTTGGTTTATTTGTTGATTTGGGAGTTCATGCCTACTTCTATCTACTGTAGCTGGTTTCAAAACGTGGAGCCAAATTTCTCAGAGCTATTAAACATTTGCAGCTGGTCATTTCCTCAGCTAAAAAGTATTTTTTACTACTGTCTGCATTTCTTTGCACACAAGCTGAATCTCCCAACCCAGCTACTTTGCATTTCGCCTCCTGTGTGCACACCCGTATCATGGGGCAACTGGAAATGTCGCTCAAAAGTCCTCACTGTCATAACTAAAGAGCAGACCTGCTCTGTCTGAGAAACTGATCACAGAGCCCAGGCCAGACAGACACACATCCCAGGGGTCTGCTCCATCTGTCCTGCAAGGAGCTGCCTCCTGAGGAAAAGCCATAGGGGGTCTATTGACAGAGCAATCTCCTGGAATTTTCAAACTTGTCCTGCCCATGGGAGAGGCTGCCCTGGTGACTACAGATAGGGGGTCCACAGCTTCTGGACAGATGGACATGGGGGTGTTTTCAGAAGCATAGCTGCAGCTGGAGAGGCCACTGAGCTCCTGCACACTGGCACCGTGTTTCAGCGCAGGGCACGGGTAGGCCTGGTAGGACACTTTGGTGGTGGTGGTGATCACTGTCTGCAGGGCTGGGCCACCTGCCGAGGGTGTCTCCCGGTACCTGCAAGGAACCTCAGGGTTATAATAAGGGCACCTGGCCACAGCCTGGAACTGTCCACAGTCAGTCCTTTCCTCAAGGCCTGGTTTTCCAAGGCTTGGTTTCCAGCCACACTGTTTACTGGTGAAATCAAAGCTGCTCTCATAGCTGCTGTAGGAATTGATGTTATATTGCAGTGCATTCAGATGAACCCAGTCTGTGTCATTCGAGATGCTGCTGGAATCTTTATAGAGGCTGGGAAATGGGCCTGGATTTGTGTATCCAGGGCCTGCCAAGTCATAGGTGCAAGGTGGCCTGGACAAATAAATCCTTGGGCTTGGATATTTCTGGAAGGGGGATGTGATGTCTCCTTGAAAGGTGGCCAGATCACAGGGAGCTGCGTAAATGTCCGAGTTTGGGAACGAAGGGAAAGTCTGCCCTGGACTATAGAAGCTGGTGTCTGGAATTATATCAAACAGTTCTGGATTTCCCAGGAGAGATGTGTTGTTGAATTGTTCACTGCTGTCTTGCTTTTCTCCTACCTAAGAAATGATACAAATACAGACAGGATACGCAAATGCTACAAGCATCCTCCAGCACACCAACAGCCAGCCATGTAAATAATGTAAATAACAAACTTCCAGTGGGTGGGCTCTGTGTTGCAAATAGTGTCCTGATAGGGAACATGATTTTGGCCTGTGGTCCAGAAGTTGCTAAGCTTGAGCTCTCTTAGGTGCGAATATCCCACCATGAATGAGGAAGACTCAAAGTAACCCTGCAGAATGGATGTGGGTGGCTGATGGTTCTTTTTTTTTTTTTTTTTTTTTTATGGTACTGGGGATCTAACTCACGACCTCGCGCTTGCTGGGCAGGCGCTGTGCCACTGAGCTAAATCCCCAGCCCGTGGCTGATGGTTCTGTTCTCACCTGTAAGAGGGGAGGCTTAGAAGCCACACAGAGGTGTTTTCAAATCCTGACTCTGTCCTTCACTGAAGGAATGAGTAACTTACTTTCTCTGGACCTCAGATACCTTGTTTTAAATACGCGGCTTCAGTGTAGAGTTTCTGTAACCATAGGGTTGCTGCAACCATCCGATGTCCGAATGTCTTAGATTGGTGCCTGGCACATGCAGGTGCTCAGCAAGGTCAGCGTCTGTCGTGCTCACACTGACACTGCCTGCCGGCCATGCTTTGGTGGAAAAGCAGCACTGGGTCAAGATGCCCAAAGACATTTTCTCTGTTCCTGTGTAACAGTGTTGCTATAGTTTGGATCTGGAATGTCCCCCAGAAACCCAGGTGGTGGCTGCTTGGTTCCCCGGTGTCACCATTTGGGAGTGGTAGAGAAAGAGGTGGGTCCTAGTGAAAGTGTTAGGGCATTGGGGGTGTGGCCCTGGGGTAGATATTGGACCCCAGGCCCCTTCCCTCTTTTTCTCTTTTGCTTCTGACCATGAGATGAGCAGCCTTCTCCACCATGTACTCTTCTCTGATGCGCTGCCTCACCACGGGCTCAAAAGCAACAGGCCACCCAACCATGGACCGAAACCTCTACAACTGTGAGCCAAAACAAGCCTTTCTTTTTTGAGTTGATTATCTCAGGTATTTTCTCACAGTAATGAACAGCTGACTAACACAAATGAAAAGGGTCCTTTCAAGGATATTCCATTCACTCACTGTTGTTAAGCATAGACAGCAGTGATGGCGAACCTTTTAGAGACTGAGTGCCCAAACTGCGACCCAAAACCCACTTATTATTTACTGCAACATGCCAGCACTGCAATGAGACCTGAATATTGAGGGTTTAGTTTAGGAAAAAAAAACCAAAAAACTGTTATCCAGTGCCTAAGGGCTCTGTGTGCCCACTGCGGCATGTGTAGCATAGGTTGTCAACACTGACATAGAGTAATAGCCCCTTTATCCACACTTGTTGCACTTTTCAACTACGCATGGTCAACCAAGTCCAAACACATGAAATGGAAAATTCCAGAAAGAAACAATTTATCTTTTAAGTAATTAATTGTTGTACATTTCTACGAGTGTTTTTATTATTAGTTACTGTTAATCTCTTACTGTGTCTAATTTATAAATTAAACTTTGTTGGAGGTATGTATGTATGAGAAAAACATGGTGCATATGGGTTTGGTACCACTTACAGTTTCAGGCGTTCACGGGGTGGGGGTTGAACATAACCCTCAGGGTAAGGGTGGTCTACTGGATTTCTTTCTTTATTAGCTGGATAATCACATTTGTACCAACATAGCAGCACACATCCTAATTATATCATTGCCTGTAAAGGTTGTTTGCTTTATTTAAAGAAGAGATTAGACTCTATCCAGATGTTGATTTAATGAGATTTTCCCACAAGTATATAACTTTCACATAAAATGAAATCTTTATAAGTTAGTATTTATAAACATTGTATTCCAACCATTTTGTATTTCTATTAATTACAAGTGTATCATGCAGTGAAGATGAACATAGGTCATGTGTGTAATGTCAGCCCCCTTACCTCGGGTTCTCGAATTCTCTTTTTCTGGCAGAAAGAGGCTATCCGTCTCTTGAGGGCACTTCTTCTAGCTTCTGTCTCTGATTTACTCTCTGGTCTTGGGTGATCATGAACTCCTTTGGCCTGTGTTAATGAAGAAATGAATTATGTCTTTGTTTCTCTAAAGGAAGCTGATTATGTTGGTAGCCGATCAAAACTCCCACCAGGCCTTTCCCAAGACCCAAGATGTTTTATTTTATTTTTTCAAAATGATGAAGAAAAAAGTTTTCAAAAATAAACCATCATCAATAATAGACATCTTAAAAGATGATCTCAGATAGGGCCAGGGATATAGCTCAGCAGCATAGCACCTGCCTGGCAAGCACAAGGTTGTGAGTTCGATTCCTGGTAACAACCCCCCGCGCCCCAAAAAAGATGATCTGCAATAAACTAATAAATAGATTATGACTCGGCTCACTACTTTGTGCTCTAGAACATCCCCGGGGTGCTCCACCACATTTCTGGCCATGGCCACTGTATTTGGTTTAGACCAGGGGGTCCCAAAGCAGATGGCAGGTGGGTTGGCCCCTTGCTATGATGAAAATATCCACCCCAAGCCATGCCATCACCCTTCCTACCTGGAAAAATATCGCGCTGCCATCCAGGCGCCAGAAATTGGTGACCGGATATCCGCTGTGCCCTCGGCAGGGAATCAGCTCCAAAGCAGACTGACAGTTGGGGCAAACCTTCTCTGCAAACCCCAGAGGCAGAAATATTAGTGACAACGCAGGCAGGGAGGGGAAGGTCGCGCAGGCCACCCCTGCGGGCCCCGCACACACTCTGCTGCTTGAGGCGCGCCTTGTCGCAGATGGCCGGGCGCAGCTGCAGGCGCGAGCCGTCCGGCAGGGCGCAGGCCCTGGCGCACAGCACCACACCCAGGCACGACTTCTTGAGGATGTGGCCGTTGTGGTTGTTGGTGTTGCGCATGGCCCAGCCGCTCAGGTGGCGCTGCGCCTTCTTCTCCGCGCTGCTGTAGATGAAGCGCACATAGCCGTCGGGCCACTCCCGGAAGGGGTCAAAGTGGGCTGGCGCCTGGGAAGAGGCGGAAGACGAGGGTCAGAACCACACACTCTGCCTTTCTGACCACAATCATTGTTAATGTAGTGCTTACCTCTTAAATGTGGTATGTGTATTAATTCACCCGGCTGTCACACCACACGAGCCCAACCTTAGAGTTATCATGCCCATTTTACAGAATAGGAAGTGAAGGTCAGAGAAGTTAATTGACTCACCTAAAGTCACACAGCTAGCAAGACCTGGCTCTGGGATTTCAGCTCCATCAGTGTAGCTCCAGAGCTGTGCTCCTTATCGCTTTGTTATTCCACTATGTGTGGTGTTTAAATATTCAACAAATTCTCCAAGTTAAGTATCAAGCTACCAGGGTGAAAAGCTAAAATACTGAGCACTGCTTTAGTACTCATTTTTGATGGTCATTGTTTTATGCATTACCTGTACTGCAACAATGTCTTTTTTTGTATATAACTTCAAAATAAAATTACCCTGTAGGGAGCACTTACTATTTACCACGGCAGGGGTTGGTAAACCAGCAACCATTGGCCAAATCCAGCCGCTCCTTGTTTTTGTACCGTCCCTGGCTCAGAATGCTTTTTTACATTTTAAACAGTTGGAAGAAAAATCAAAAGAAGAATTATCTTTTGTGATGCATGAAACATACATAGAATTCAAAGGGTGGTATCCATTTAGTTGGCCGGGCCATGGCCGCATACAGCCTTCCGTGTTATCTATGGATGCTTTTGGATCTGCAGTGCAGAACTGAATATTTGGGACAGAGACAGTATGGCTCACAGAGCCGTGTTATGCAGTATCTGTGATCCTCACAAGGAAGCGGAGGCTAGGTAAATAACGCTCTACAATGGCACAGCTGGGAATTAGAGGGAAGTTCCAGCAGCCAGATCTATTGGCGTGACAGATGATAAGGGGTCAGAAGAGTATTATAACAATAGTAAGCCACTTACAACTCTTCCCCCTCCTGCCCCCTGGAAAATTAGACCAAACATTTACACCACCAAAGGATTCTCGGTTGGACAGCTCAGACTTGTGTATGTTGTTAGTATTTCTTATCCTAACAGTAACAACATTTCAGGGAAGATTTTATTTCCCAACCCACAAGGATATCATTGAAATCAGCATTAATACTAATAGGTGTAAGATTTCTTTGAAATATTACAACTGACATAAGCCAATATACTGATTGAAGGTAAATCATGAGTGAAATACATGATGATGTAATAACATATACGATGATGTAACTGCACGTTTATTTTCCAAGTAAACATCTTTGTTTAAAATGTGCACGTTTCAACTTAAGGATCTTAATAACAAATGAACAGTTTTTTAGAAAAGAGAATCTTTAGGCTGTGGACTAGGCCCCCATGTTTTATACCACCAGCTCCTCAGATAGGGCTACTGGGATGAAGCCACAGAAGCTGTCTTTTTAACCAAACAAGAGCAGAGAATTTCAAGATTGGGTTTCATTTGCTCCAGTGTTTTGGCTGTGTGTGTGTGTGTGTGTGTGTGTGTCACAGAGAGAGAGAGAGAGAGAGAGAGAGAGAGAGAGGGAGGGAGAGAGGAGACAGTCTATCTGGACAGGCCTCTGAGATTGTTATCTAGCTTCAGCACTTGATGACAGGTCTGTAGCCAAGGCAATTTCAAGTACTCGCTCAAGGTTTAGCTGTTTCTCTCAGCCAGAGCAGGGCTGGAATGCTGTTTCCACATTTTTTTTTTTTTTTTAATACACTGTCAATTTTGAGATGTTACATGTACTCTGAGTAAGGCCCATTCTCCCAGGAAAAACAGTTCACATTTACCAGAAAACCAAGAAGATGCTTGAGGGACGAGCCTTTTCTAGCTAACGGCAAGATTAGATTATTTCCTATGAGGGTTCACACGGCCAGAAGTCAGGGTGAGGCACACCCTTTCGCAATAGTGATGCGGTGTACTCGAAAGCAGGCGAACTTTGAAACCTGAAAGTGATACCAAGAAAGTGCCTCGCTCTGTGAGAAGCACACACGGTGCTAACCATGAGAACTCATCCGGCACATAGCAGGGTCTGAGTAGCTTCCAAAGCTGTCCCCGTCCCCCACTTGGCTGGAAAGCAGCTCACATGGAGAATGACTCTTGTTACCCCCCATCTACACCTGGGACTTTCAAGTCGCCTTTTAGTTTTAATTTTAAAAGAAATATGTCCAAGTATGGCTGCTTTCTTCATTTCCTGCACTTGGCACCCTGAAAACTGAATCAAACCAAACCAAACCAACACAAAATTCACCCTGAAAGGGGATGACGTCCTTGTGACTAGCGAGGTGAGCTTTGAGCGGGTGGCTTCCTTAGCAGGACTGCGGAGCCCGCTCCATCCGGGCAGTAGAGTCCTGAATAGATCGCTCCAGTCCAGATGTGTTTCACATTCGCGTCTCCTCCGTTTGCAGTCCATCTTGCAGTTTGCGTGAGAAGCAGTACCATTTGCAAGTTTCCTCCTGACTTTTTCTTAGATTTTAATTAAGTAAGCAACAGAGAAACATGTGATTTCTTCCGTAATTAAGGGAAAGCGAAAGGAGAGGCGTCTGGACCTCACTTGACTACAGGAAGCGGGAGCCTGAGGTTCCCTTCCTGCTGCTTCCCGGGTGTTTGCACAGATGCACAAAGAAATCACCGGGAGCGGACACATCTCCGAGCTCAACCCTGCCTTCCTAGCGCCCAGGACCTCCCTGCAAGGCCCTCAGCAATGTGCGCGCGTCCAGAGATTCCGCAAGAATTTGTGCGCTTCGTCCTCGGAGGCTCGGCTCCACTCACCTGGGGCATCTGCGGGTCGTTGATGTCCCAGTTGAGCGTCATCCCGCGGGGATCCCCGCGCTCCGAGTCCTGCCCGGCGTCGGCTGGCATCTGCGCAGCCTCGATCGCTCTCTGCTCAGGATCCTGAAAGACAGACCAGAAAGTAAGAGGTGTGCCGGGTGACTAGGTGGCTTGTTTTCCTTTTTGGGAAGAAATTCGAGTGAGCGAGAGGGCACGTGCGCGTGCGCGAGCGACAGAAACAGAGACACACAGAGAGACACAGAGACAGAGATTAGTAATCCAGAGGCTGCGGGTGCTGGCGCTGCTGGGCCCTGTCCTCGGTGGCGGTGCTGAACCGAGTCCACGGCCCGCGCGCGTTTATAGAGACTTGGTCCCCGCAGCCCCGCCCATGCCCGGGGGCGACAGAGCCAGGCACGGGGGGAGGGGAGCTGAGCCCCAAGCAAAGACGATGGGTGGCAGGTTGGGATTTTCATTTAAATTGGAATCCACCTCCACACTGGCCTTGGCGGTTTGGCCAGGGTTTGTTCCAGGCCCTGGAAGCTGAGTTTTCCAGTAATGTCTCCAGGAGAGCGTGGGGACCCCACATGGGACCCTCGCCTGCCTTGCGCCCTGGTCTCAGCATCCGCGCCCGCGCCTTCTGTTTAGGCTGGAATCGTCTCTGGGTTCCGGCTGTGCTGTTGTGCGTGTCCCCAGGTCCGTGGTCGGCTGTTTGAGACACCCACCGGGGCGCCGGCGTCGCGTGTTCTGCGGGCCCAGGCGCACCCACGCTTCCGGGGTTGCGGAGAAACCTGCCCCCCCCTAGCCCCCGCCGTAAAGTCCTGGAAAGTGGAACCGGAGGAGGTAGGGGTGAGATGAACCTGGGTTGGTGGACGGGACGGCGCCAGTGAGCCCTACTAGGAGATCAAAAATCCGAGGAGCCTGGCGTGGTGGCCCACGTAATTCTTGCATGGTGGGAAGCCGAGGCAGGCAGATCGCAAGGTTGAGCCCAGCCCCGAAGCAATTTAGCGAGACTCGGTTTCAAAATTTAAAAGGAGGCTGGGGGCGTAGCTCAGTGTGAAGGCGATGGGCTCAATCTGCAGTGCCAGAGGGGAAAAGAAAAATCGAGGAACCGTGGACAGTTTGTGCCTTACCTGTTAAATAAAGGACTGGGGTTGAGTGCTCAATGGCCACCCACGTGAACATAAATCTTTTAAAAAAATCTTGATTGAGATTGTTGTGGAAATATCATGGTTATATTTACCCTAGACAGTTTTGAAACCAGAGGACTCTGGCGAGGACGCCGCGGGCTCCCCCAGGACTGGGATAGACATGCCTGCCCGCCTGGGCATCCGCCTCTCAGGGTGACTCAGGCGCTTGGGGCGTCCAATAAAAGAAGTCAGTGGAAGTCACTAGAGTCGCTCTGTAGCCACCCCGAGCTTCTGGAATTTAGTCCCCGCTTGGTTCGCAGCCAGCACGGTCGCGTTTGGAGTTCCAGGAAGGGTGCTGCGAAGCCTGGCTCTTCCAACCCAGGGGCTGGCGCTGGGCTGGGCCTCCCGCTAGACCGAGGGAGAGCGGGTGCGTTTGGACCCAGGACTTGCAAAGGGAAGGATCGCTCGCGCTCCCGGGCGCTGACTTCCCAGCCGGGGCACCGGAAGGCTGGCTTAGAAAACAGCCAGGAGCGCGAGGCTTCCGCAGACGGAGGGGAATGTCAGCTGGGGCAGCTCCGCGTACTCTCCTCCTCCCCAACGAAGGTTAAACAAACAAACAAACCCTCATCACGCACACTTTCACCCAGAGATTTTCATCTTACTAATCGGGTGTGGAAAGGCCTGGCAGTTCCTGTGACTCAGTTGCTTTTTGGGTTGTTTTTGTCTTGAAAATAGCCACCATTTTTAGTAAATTGATACCTCGTTCAGTGGGATAGCTTAACACAGTCTATACGTTTTTTAATCATTTGTTCTTTTTTTGTTTGACAGTCTATATATTTAAATGTTTTGAAAACAACTTTGAAAATAGCCATTGAACATTATCTCTAGGAATGCATGAAATTATTTTCACATTGTTAATTTCTTGCTTCTATGCATTGACATCTAGGGAAGCCCTACCCTTTAAAAATATAAATGTTTGAAGATACCAAAGTATAGTACAACAACTATTGATAATCTCCTACCTCTTTTGTCTGTAACTCACTATTACTTGTCTGTTTTCCTGAGAAACTATCTTGTAGATAACAATATGTAAAACAATAACCATTGATAATTTCCTACCACTTTGTCTGTAATTTGGTAAGCCCCCCTATTATTGTTATCCTTCTTTTACTCTTTAAAAAAAAAAATTAAAAATATAAATAAATGTAAAGACAAAATATTTTTTTTTCTTTTTTAATGAGACAAGGTCTTGCTATGTAGTTCAGGCTGACCTTGAATTCACTATGTAGCAGGGTGGCTTTGAACTCCTAGCTGTCCTCCCGCTCAGCCTGGCAGTCCAATTAATTTCTGAATGGATTCTGGTGTCAAAAATGTCATGGAGCTGCCACCGTATTTAGTGTGTGAAGAATTAGAACATACATTCCAAGTGGCCCTAAAATGAGGTCTGGTAGAACATGTTGGTAAAAGGAACTAACCAAAGTGAAGTTATACTGAATAAGTAAGAAAGTAAATAAATAAATAGTAGTATTGTCTATTTTGTTGCTCTTAATATCTCTTGAAGATTCGAGTACATTTCCACTGGGGTGTGGAAGGATGTATTCCCCCTTCCCATCTGAAAATAACTGACTATAAAGTTTTCTAACAAAACTTTAATCTTTATATTCTTTAAAATAAAGTGCATTTGAGCTGTATTTTGATTACTGATAGTTCTTTTCTGCCCTAATGTTTGCAGTGACTCCTAATACTTTAATTCACATCTGGCCCTGCCTTGGCTACTACTTTAGTATCAGAAGAGTCCTTTCAAAAGGAAAGGAATAAACCTTTGAATTTGCTAAGTGTAGGTGAATGAACGAAAGTGCTTATTTTCCCCGGAAATGGAAGCAAACGGTGCCGACCACACACGTTGTTGGGAAAGGGCCCGAGCTGCCCACAGCTCCTGGGTTTCCTAACGGGGATTCTCTTTTATATTAGCTTGACCTTCTGTAAAGATCACAGCATGAAACACAGCTTCCGGTCACACTACAAGTCAGAGTTTACACAGTGTTTGGATTTGAGCGAGCATTTTGCTTATGTTTAAAGAAAACACCAGTCCAAATTTTTATGTCGTGTCCCCATAGCTGACCTATGGGACGAGGTAGCTTTGAGCGCAGTTAAGGGAAATGGGCAAAAAACAAGCAAAGGATTGGCTTTTTATTTCTTACATCCCCTCCCGCTGGCCAAAGTACTTTAAAAAAAAAAAAAGCAAAGAAACAGAAAACACCTTCTTGTATGGTATCAGGAAAGGATTCACAATTGCAGGTACAAGTCCAGCTGATCTACACGAGAGCAGCTCCCCGCGTCTGCTGGGGAGAAACCCTCGGCGCCTCTGCAGGGGATGCTCCTCCGCGTCACTGGAGGCGCGCTCGCGTTTGCTCTCGATTTCTCGCGTTTCTCGGGTCTCAGATGGGGGAGGGCTGCGGGCACAGGTTCCTTTGATCAGAGTTCTTCGAGAGGATTGAAAGCCCTCAGCCACCCGCGCCCGGGCCCTCGGCGCAGCCCGCCGGGATCGCGGGCGCCTTCGGGATGCGGGAGGTGAGCGAGCCGGCTCCGCGCCACGGCAGGGACGGGGGGCGCGGGGCTCGGGGCGCGGTGGATCCAGCTTTTGGGGCGCTCGGGTTCCCGCAGTGTGGGGGCGGCTTGCAGCCGGACAGCTCGGCGCGGGCAGAGCTCTGCGCTCTTCCTGTTACAGCAGCGCGGACTTGGTTCTTCCTGCGGGGCGCTGGGCATTTCCCCAGCTCGCTCTTCTTCCTTGCAGCGTGCAGAGTGCACGACCCATCCTCCCTGGGCTCAGGTCTGCGTTAAGTGCTGAGCTTTTTAAAAAGTTAACTGCGAGGAAAAGGACGGCCTCTACGACGGCTGGGGCCGGCGCTCCTACTTTTCAGCAGTCAACGACTGTTCTGCTGGGGGAGGAAAAACAAGTCTAGATTTTGGTCGTTGATTTTCAACGGTTTCCCTATTTATAAATGAAGGTGATAGTGCCACAGATAGAGATTTAAGGGTTTCAGTTAAGTTCAGAGAGTCAGGATTGTGCGCCTGAATCACACGTAGATTTCTAAACCTTTTTTTGTGGGTCTTACAATTTTCAGTTGTTAAAACAAAACCAGGCGATGGGATGATGGTATTCAACGTGGTATTCTGTGTTGGGAAATCAGAATGGTGGGTCAGAAAGCTTTCTTGAAGAAAATATCTAACAATTTACCGTTAAGTGTTCTGGATGCTGCGTTTGAGGTTGTGGCCGTTTGCTGATTGAACTTGTAGTATATAACTCTTAGTAATGTTTGGAATTTATGTCACAAGTATACGGCTTACACTCATGGCCAGGCTGGAAAATACCCTTTTGAACTTGTGAATTTTTAATCTGAACATGGTTTATTCAAAGCCTTTTTTTAATTTTATAATCACCACAGGGGTCTAAATTTGTTTCCTTGGGACGATCCTTTATTCAAATGATGGTGACTTTGCTTCTTATGATTGTATTATGAGAGACCATGCTAAAGAAGACTGGGTAAAAGTGCTGGGGTTTTTGTTTTTCTATTCTACTTAGATCTGTAATCAGTGATATGAGCAAACGAAGTTTTCTCTTCAGGAAAATAATATAAACTTTAATTTTTGTGGTTTTTTTTTTTAAAGTTAAAGTGCATTTCTTTGAAACAGTTTTTGAAAAGCAATCTTTTTATTGCATACAGGAAAATAAAGATCATTTGCAGTCTGTTAAGGAAGGTGATGGCTCTGGGAAGGCCCAAGATGCTTTCTGGGTAAAGATCATTTATTTTGTGTTCTATGTGTTGCTTTGATTTCTGTGTTCTTGGTGGGGAATCAGACCATTGCTCCTTTAGCAGCAGAGAAATCTTGTTTGTTCTTCCATAATTTCCTTCCCATATCCAGTATATTACCATGTCTGTTCAATTTTACCTCCTCCCACCCTACTAATATCATAGTCTAAACTGTCTGACGCCCAGCATTCTTCTGCATGGAAGTAGACAGTGCTCAACAAAACAGACATCATTCCTGCAAGCATGGAGCTTAGAGACTGGCAGTGAGCTACAGAAACAGGTAAACAAAGTAACAGTAGGGAAAGAACAGGCTGTTGCAGTGGAGAATAACCCCAGGTGCAGGAGGCACCTGGCCTCCTTTCATGAAGTGGTGCTGGAAGGTTCACCTGGAAAGGTGGTGCTCAGACCTCCATCTGTGGGAAGCAGCAGTCCAGGCGCACAACTGCCAGTGTGAAAGCCCCGAGGCCCGGAAGACCTTGGCTTAGTCCAGGGCTCATGAGTTGGGAATTCGGGCTGAAGAAGCTGGCAGAGATCCTGTCACTTGGACCCTTGCAGACTAAGGAAAAGGGTTTGGATTTATTCGCAGTGCTGGGGAAGCCACCTCAGAGTTTCAAGCAGGCACAGTCCAGGGCTTCTGAGTTGGAGGATGCCGGGGAGTGATGTCACCGGTGTTGGTACCTTTCCCACCCTTGCTGTTCTATGCCAGAGAATGCGTCTGCTTTCTCAGGGTGGTGGGGAGGCTAATTGGGGATCGCTGCAGGACACATCACACACTTGGCACGAATGGCCCCACTATGTGGTGATGAAATGATTCTGTTTATGGGGAGAAACTTCAAATGCTGCCTCCTCACTTAAAATCTATGGCAAGAATGAGTGGAATTTAGAGCTGTGTACAGTAAAATGCTTTCTTATCCAAATAATATATATTATAATTTAGCCCATACGATTAGCCTGTTTATAAGAAATCATATCGTTTATCACATGGATATTTGAGAAATGTCTGTTAATCTAGTAAGAATATTTAAAATATATCTTGTCTAGTGTTTAGGCAGGAATTTTTGTTGCATGCAATTAGTTGTTTTCCTTCTATTACTTACGTCAGTTAATGCATGATCAGAGGCTTCAATTTTCTTACTGTTTTGGAATTTGCAAAATTGCCAAGTATCTTCTATGTTTATACCTAATTCAAGCACATTTCCTTATGATGGTGGTTCCTGAGCTGTCGCAGGCATTGGGATGACCTGTAGGGCTCCACCAGGCCCCAGGTGACACCAGTGTCGCCACTGGCCCAGGAACTGCATTCTGACAACTGTCTGAAGCCAACAGAAAAGTCAGTCCTTTAAGTGATTGTCGACAGTAAAAGACAGCTCTCTATTTTTTACCCTACATTATTTTGCACTGAGTTATTACTGATCATCATATTAGTTAGAAATATTCTAAAAGAAGTATTCTTGGGGGAACAGAAATAATTCACAAACCATCACTTCTTCAGCTCCAGTCGCTTATTACTGATGCCTTCCACGGTGAAGGATTTCAGAAAATACAAGAGTATCTTCAACAGAAAGAAAGCCACTTCCCTCAAAAATATGATCATCTCCTATTACACCGTCTTGACAGAGCAGTAAATAAGGCAAGTGAGTTGGGTTTTTGGAGGACTAAAGGGGGACTAAAAAGCAATGTATACTTATTTGTAAGAATTTTAATTTAGTCTGGTCTGATATCTAGGAACTGGATAAAAAGGAATTTCAGTGTGTGTCACTGTTGTTGAAATGTATGCAGCGATTCTTCAAAGACAGCCTCAGAGAAGATGAGCCCTTGCTGATTCAGCAGGGACTGATCTCGAAGATAAGTGTCGTACTTTAATGTCATGACTTTCGGGTAACTTAATGTGCGGGGCTGGGGCGTGGCGGGCTGGGGCGTGCTCCAGCCTCTGGTTTGGATCCCCAGAACTTCAAAAACCAAACTACTGTGGACTAGATTGACTCTCAAAGAAACTGTATCCATTCTCATTGCTTTTTTCCAATCCGTATTAAATGCATGTTTCCTAGGTGTAGGCCGGCAGAACACCTTGGGAATGGTGGGTTAAGGCAGGTGCAGCTCATCTCCTTGACAAACAGCAGCAGGTTTTTAATTACCTTAGCAAATTTGACTGGGAAAGATAGGATAAATAGGCGTACCCTCCATTATTTTAATAGTATCAACAAGGTTAAACCCAGACAAAAATCATTAAAACTTCCCTTTGCCTTTGTAACATTATAATATTCTCCCTTTCTAAATGCTGGATGGATTAAAAAAAAAAAACAACCCTATTTTTGTTAAAAGTCACCCTATTGATTCTTTTTGCTTTCTCAAATTAACCACGAGGCAATGTTACAAGCGTCCTTATTAACGACAGCTGGGAGCATTCCACGTTTGCAGAATTCTTGCTGCGTGAACTCCCTGGGGAGGCCTTTGCAGCCCCAAGAGACGGTGTATTTGCTAGTGAGAAGGGAGGTTGGCACGGAGGGCTGACTGGCTAATAATGCAGTCCTGCATTTCCTGCCGTGGCTCTGGCACCTGAAGTTTATCAGGACCAGTTTGGGCCAAGGAGATCTTGATCTTGGTTCATCTCCATCTCTCTCTTAAACCTCTACAAATTATAGGTCTGAGAGAGAGAATCAGTGCCAGCCTCGCCCAAACTGAACTCCAGGACTCTAAAAGTATTTACAGGGGACCCTAAAGAATGAGCTTTCATTTCTGCATTTAGTTCCACTTACCTCCTCGATACAGTCACTCAAGCAGGAAAGAGGAAATAGGCTCCACAGATTTTGAAAGGGGGCAAGTCACTCAAGCAGGAAAGAGGAAATAGGCTCCACAGATTTTGAAAGGGGGCAAGATGACGTGAGGGTGCTTTGGAGTTTAAGCTGATGTTGTGGGGCTGTGAGCTGGACTGTACCCCAACCTGGTTTTCCTATTTAGGCTTAAGAGTACTTTCCCAAAGTTTGAAACAGTGTCACATCAAGTATCTCCTGAATTTCAAAATCAAAAAGGAGTTTCCATATCACAACCAAATTCTTGTTGGTGACGGGGATTTCATAACCATAATTAAATATCTCTTGTGTATACATACATGCAAAATTTCTGCTTCTTTCCCTTCTCTTTTCCCACATCCCAGTTGCTCTTTACCCTTGAGCGTTTTCCTTTCATTTCACAATGTCTAGCATACCTCCAAGTTTTTATTAACTCCTTCAGGTTTTACACTAGTGAGGCAATGCGGTGCTTGCACATGCAGGTCTGATTTATTTCACTTATGAGTATGGTCTCTAGTTGTGACCATTTACCTATAAAGGCCTCGAGTTTATCTTTCTTTATAGCTGAGTAATATTCCATTATTAAAAGTACCACAATTTTCTTATCCAATCCTCAGTGGATGGACATTTGGGTTGCTTCCACAATTTAGCAATTACAAATTGTGCTGCTATGAACATAGGTGCACATATATCTCTGTGATATGATGTTTTTAGATCTTCTGGGAAAAATACCCAGAAGGGAATAGCTGGGTTGAATGGGACCTCTAGACCTAGTTTTCTGAGGAATCTCCAAACTGATTTCTACAGTGGTTTCACCAGTCTGCATTCCCACCAGCAGTGGAGAAGGGTTCCTATTTCTCCACAGACTTGCCAGCATTTGTTAGTGGTTGATTTCTTAATGCTAGCCATTGTTACTATGTATATACAGGATAGCTAACATAGTTGTTCTACTGTCTTCCATTTCTTTGCTGAAAGGAACTGTCAATGAGTCCTTGATTGATCAGTATTGCATGTCTCTATTTGTTTTCATGAAAAACCACTTTGAAGATATCAATATGTAATACAACAAGCATTGTTAATGTCCTACCACTTTGTTTGTAACTCTGTATTGTTTGTATTGTTCTTTTGCTATTTTGTAAATGGTTGTCTGTTAATGTTTTCTTCCTTTTATTTTTAAAATTAAAAAAATTAGATATCTTCTAAAACATACTGTTATTTCATAGAGCTCTGGGTCGAGGAGAACAGATCAGTATTATCAAGGAGAAAAAGATACTGAGATGTGTACTTTGTACAGCCAATTATTGACAGGCTTAACACAATTTGATTGGAATTATTCTCAGTAGAAAAAGAATTTCCCATGGAAAGGAATGAATTTAGTTTTGTACTCTAAGGTCTGGGAGGATCAAGCATCTTGTCTCTTCTGTATTATTAATTGTGCCATTTCTATTGACCTTGTCTTCTGGTAATGACCTAGCAGTGGGGACAGTTGGGGTGCCTGTTGGATGACATGATTGTGGCACATAAGTAGGCTCAGGGAGTACTTCCTGTTCCCAGATATTGACCAGCCACTGTGGCATCTTCCCCACTCTTCCACATCTGTACTTGAGCAATACATGTGGGGGTGTGTTGGGAGGGAGACAGGCTTGGAGGAGGGATGTGGAATGGTGACAGTGATCTAAAAGCATAACATTTTGAGCGTGAGTATAAGGAAAACAATATAGCTTTGGCCATGAGTTCCATAGAAAGGCATATTTCTTTCTTTCCTGAAGAAAGTTTGCATTAGAAGGTGGATGATTTATTGCAAGTGTTTGTCGTCTGCTTTGGGGTAACAGTGACTATGAGCATGGTGGCATCTCTGATGTACTGCTCTGCATCACAGTCACCCAGGGAGATTGAACAAACACTGCCCGGGAACCAGCACCAGGGATTTTGATTCCCTGGATCTGGGATGGTCCCAGGCATTGGGGGTTTTTCATAGCTCCACAGGTTTTTCTGGTCAAGAACAGAATTGTTTATGTTCTTTAGCTGGAGTGCTCGGGGTCCTGGGCTCCCATGTGTCCTCAGTTTGGAATGCCATACGCCCATTGAAAGTTCATGTCACTGACTTCAGTTGAATTGATGATTTCTAACTGAGCATATAGGATTTTTCTTTCTCTTTAAAAGGTATATGAACTTTTTCCTGTAAGAGTGGCCAGTCTCAGCAAAGAGGGTTTTTGCTTTATTAAGTATATTTTGGAAGGGGTTATAGAAGTTTATTTTAAATCAATCTTAGCTACTTAATATGAAGTTACATATATAATTCCTACAATGGTGGTTGTTTTACATATTGTTGCCTACAAGATAGTTTCTCAGGGAAACAAATAATAGTGAGTTACAGACAAAAGTGGTAGGTTATTATCAATGGTTGTACTATGCTTTGATATCTTCAAAGTGGTTTCTAAAGAAAATAAATAGAGCTATACATGAGTGGCCAATTGACTATTCATTGATTATCCTCAATGGTTGTTGTAGGAAACACATAGTGTAATTCCTACAGCACAAAAAAACCTCTAATCAGCTGGAAGCTTTTGTAGAGGAACGATCAGCCTAGAATGTGTTTACTATAACCATGGCTACCTCAGGATCACTTTCCTTTGATATTTGTGTTCTGTAGTGTCTCAGGCCTGCATGATTTTCCCCCTGTATTGGGGTCATTTAGACTTTTCTCTATAGAGTCATATATGGTGGCACACACCTGAAATAGCACCTATAAAACCAGGCTGAGGGGGCTGGGGATTTAGCTCAGCGGCAAAAGCACCTGCCTGGCAAGCGCAAGGTCGTGAGTTCGGTTCTCGGTACCGGAGAAAAACCAAAAAAAAAAACAAAAAAAAAAAAACAAAAAAAACCAGGCTGAGGCATGAGGAGCTTGAGTTCAAGCTAGCCTGGGAAACTGAGACCTTGTCTCATAATAAAAAATAAAATTGAAAAACAACCTGGGGATGTAGCTCAGTGTGGATGCCCAGGGTTTAATCCCCAGCACTGCAGAAGAAAAACCACAAACTTCTCTCTCCAGCTTCTTCATGTGGCTTTCTGTTACAAGACCTGCCTAATCCTCTCTTTCTTACTGGTATCAGAGAATGGAGGGCAATTCTGAAGCATGGACTCCATTCTGAGGAGTTCTCTGATTAAGGAGCCTTAGAGCCAGGCCTAACTGAAATATGGAGTGGGAAAAGTCCTTCAGGATTTTTTTGCTCTAGTGAGAAAACTGTCTCATGAAACTTTATTGAATAGGCAGTCAGTATTCAGTCCTGGGTGATTCTACCAGTGTTTCTTCTCTTGTGCACATGACTTCCTGGTTTGAAAGGACGACAGGCTTTCTGAGCACTGAAGCCCTAGCCTCAGGTACAGCGCTGATGGACCTCATAGAGGACTTCCTGGACTCCGCACTGGTAAGGCTGGCCAGGTGCTCTGTGGAGCGGGTCGGCTGCTGTGGGCAGGAATCATAAGTGATTTGTAAGGCTGGACTTTTTGTTAAAATGTGAGTTCTGCTAAAAGACTCCCATGTGTTAAGAATAGTAGGTGAAATAACAAGCATAAATATATATACTATATATATATAATATATATATCCAATGTGATAGAAAACGAGGTAATTTTTATGCATATATGTATTACTATTTGATGGCATATGTTCTTTTTTAATGAGGTGATTGAAACTCAAGCAGGCTTTCTTTGATTCTTCTGGGTTTAACGATTTAAACACCTGGCTATTAGTATGATTGTTCACACACTAATGACATAGCTTAGAATGCTGTTTTAAAAGAATGTGATCTGTGCTTTTTCTTTCTTTCTTATTAGATTATTTCCAGCAGTAGTACTAAAGGTAAGCACTGGCTTTTATCATCTTATTAATAGAACATTTTGGCACAGAGAAAAGAATATTTAAATGATATTTAAGAGTAAGCAGGGTTGTACACTTAGATTTACCAGGCACTTTATGGTGGTGTGATCTTGAATTGCATTTTATTGAAAAGAATGTCTCCGGTTGTCTGAGATGCCTGTTTGCTTAGCTCTGGCACATTTTGGCTTCTGTCCTCTGTTTGGGTAATGGAAAGGCATTTTAGTCACTGGACTAGAGGTCTAGTACCCTGTTTTAGAGGTGGTTTGTCCCACAAAGGTTCTTGTGCTGCAGGCTTGGTCCCCAGGGCAGTCATGTGAGAGGAGGTGGATCTCTGAGGCAGGCCTCGTGCAAAGTATCTACGTGACAGGAAGGGATTAATGTCAGGTCTGGAGACTGGGCTGCTTCCCGTGAGAGTCTTCTGCTTTCTTGTCATCTTTTAAAAATTTTAAGGCATATGAGACAGTGTATGCAGGCTTTGAGTCCAGCTTATTTTGCTCACTGTGTCTCCACTTCCATTTTCCTGCAAAGATGTGATTTCAGTCTTCATTATGGCTGAATAATATTCCATTGTGTGTACATCACATTTTTTGTTTTTATGAGTGCATATTAATACAGAATAATGAGATTCGTTTTTGGTATATTGGTACGTGCTGATAACATATTTTGGTCATTTTTACCCTCATTACCTCTCTCTTCTTCCCTTCCCCCATCCCTTCCCTCATTTCTAACAGTCTACCTTCTTGTTTCTTGTCATTTCCCCACCTGGGTTTTTTAGATTGTGACATTTAACATGCATGATTAAACTTTCTATGTCTGGCTTATTTCACTTAACATGAGGTCTCTGGTTCTCTCCATTTTTCTGTGAATGACATGATTTCATTCTTCTTTATGATTGAATAATATTCCACTATACTGCATTTCTTGTATCTGTTGGTGGACATCTAGGCTGTTTCCATACCTTAGCTACTGTGGACTTTGTCGCAATAAACATGGGCATGCAGGTATTGCCATGGTGTGCTGACTTTCCTCTGGGAATCTATCAAGGAGCAGTGTGGATCAAATGGTATTTCTATTTTCAGGAAGTGCTATATTGATTTTCATACTGCACTGTACTAGTTTACATTCCCCCAAATAGTGTAGGGGGTTTCTTTTTTTCTATATTTTTTGGGGGGTATTCTTGGTAATATCCACTTAACTAGTGAGGCAGAATCTTGGTGTAGTTTTGGTTTGCATTTCCCTAATGGCTAAGGATACTAAACTTTTTTTCAATATACATATTGGCCATTTGCACTTTATTTTTTGAGAAACATGTGTTTATTTCCACTTATTGATTGATTGGGTTATTTATGGGGTTTTGATATTAAGTTTTTTGAGTTCTTTATCTATCAAGATACTAATCCAGAAGAGTAGCTGGCAGATATTTTCTCTCACCTCTTATCTCTTCTTCTGTTGTTTCCTTTCCTGGGCAGAAGTTTTTTAATTTGATACAGTTCCACTTACTGATTCTTGTTTCTATGCTATTGAGGAAGTTGTGGCCTATGCCAATGTCTTCAAGTGATTCCCCTGTGTTTTCTCCTAAAAGTTTCAAAGTTCCGTATCTTATACCTAAGTTTTTGATCCATTTTGAATAGATTTTTGTACAGAGTGAGAGATAATTTCGATCTTCTACAAGAGGATGGCTGGTTTTCCTAGAACCATTTGTTAAAGAGGCTGCCTTTTCTCTCATGTACATTTTTGGCTCCTTTGTCCAGAATCAGATGGCTGTGGTCATGTGGGTTTGTTTCTGTGTTTGCCTCATTGGTCTCTGCATCTATTTTGGGTGCCAGTGCCATGCTGTTTTTGTTACTATTGCCTTGGAGTATATTTTGAAATTGGGTATTACGATGCCTCCAGTTTTACTTTGTGCTCACGATTGATTTGGCTCTTTGGGGTCCTTTTTTTTTTTTTTTTTTTTTTTTTTGTCTTTTTGAGACAAGGTCTCTCTATGCAGTTCAGGCTGGCCTTGAGCTCACTTTGTAGCCCAGGCCGGCCTTGAATTTGCAATGATCCTCCTGCCTCGGCCTTCTGAGTGTTAGGATTACAGGCGTGCACCACCACACCTGGCTTTGGGGTCCCTTGTACTTCCGTATGTGTTTTAGGATTATTCTTTCAGTTACATGAAGAATGTCATTGGTATTTTGAATCAGCAAACACTTTAGGTAATATCACCATTTTTACCATATTCCACTGATTCATGAACGTGGGTGGTGTTCTAGTATCTTCAATTTTTTTCTTGAGAATACTAAATTTTCATTGCAGAGAGGTCTTTCACCTTGGTGAGGCTTGTTCCTAAGTATTTTATTTTTGTAGCTATTGGGAATGAAATTATTTTCGTTTCTTAGTGTATTTATCATTGAGGTATAAAAAAGGCTATTGTGTTTTAATTTTGATTTTTGCATCCAGCCACTTTCCTAATCTAAAAGTCTTCTGGTGGAGTTTTTAGAATCTTCCAAAGAAAGGATCATATCATCTGCAAATAAGGATGATTTCCTCATTTCCTGTTTGTAAACCTTTTTACAAGGTCTTATCTAATTTGTCTTGCTATCATTTCAAGTACTATATAAATGGGAGTAGTGAGAGTAAGCGCCTTTGTCTTGTTCCTGGTACTAGAGGAAATGCTTTCAATTTTTCTCCATTCAGTATGATGTTGGCTGTGGGTTTGTCTTGTATAGCTTTTATTATATCAAGGTAAGATCTTTCTAGATCTATTTTTATCATGAAGGGATGTTAAATTTCATCAAAGGCTTTTTTTTTTGCAACTTTGAGATCATGTGATTTTTTTTTTTTTTTTTTAGCCTTGATTCTGTTTATGTGGTGTATTACGTACACTGATTTATGTATATTGAACTGTTCTTGGATCTCTGGAATTAAACCATGTTGGTCATGTTTTACAATCTTTTTAATGCTTTGTTGCATTCTGTTTGTAAGAATTTTGAGGATATTCACATATATGTTCATCAGAGATACTAGCCTGTAGTTTTCTTTCTTTGTGGAATCTATATTGAATTTTGGTATCATAGTCCTCTTAGTTACTTTTCTCTCATTGCTGAGACAAAATACCCAATGCCTAAAATTAAGGAAGGAAAGGTTTATTTAGCCCATAGTTTGTGGAGGTTTCAGCCTATACTCGGCTGGCTCCAATGGAGTGGCACATGGCAGAGAGCAACAGGGGGCAGAAGACAGCGAAAGCGGGAGGAGCAAAAGGGAGGAGCAGTGACAAGCAGCCCCTTTTCCTCCCTTATGTTGTATGTGAACTGTCCGCCTCAGGGTGGTGTAACATTCACATCCATAATCCCAGCATTGGACCATGAATCAATCATAAAGTCTAGGAGCCCGCCCCATAGACTACATGAGCCTTTGGGGGGACATGCAGACACAAACCATAACAACAATCATACTTGCTTTGTAGAATGAATTTGGAAACATGTCTTTTTTCTATTTTATGAACTAGGTTGAAGAGCGTTAGTGTTCTTATTTCAAGGTCTGGTACAACTCACCAGTAAATCTGTCCAATCTTAAACTGTTCTCTGTTGGGAGACTTTATATCTCCTTCAATATTATTGTGTATTATTATTTAGTTTTTTTATCTCGTTTCAATTCTTGTAAATTGTATGCATCTAGAAATTCATTTCTTCTAGGTTTTCCAATTTATTAGAATGTTTTCAAAGTAGTTCTAATAAGTCTCTGGATTTCAATTTTATATGTTTGGCTTACTTTTCTCATTGCTGAGACAAAATACCCAGTACCCAAAGCTAAAGGGGGAAAGGTTTATTTAGTTCACAATTTGTAGAGGTTTCAGTCCATAATCAGCTGGCTCCAAGGCAGGGTGACGTAGCGGAGGGGCATCAAAGAGGAGAAACCATCCATAGCAGTCAGAAGGTAGGACAAAAAAAAGGAAGCAAGGGACAACCATATCCCTTATGTCTTATCCAGGCTACTTAGGGCAGTAGCCCTCACACCCTAAATCCTAGTCCCTTTGAACCTAGCATTGCACCATGAATCAATCCCAGCGTCACACACTCTGTAGATCCAGCCACCTCTGAAAAAGCCCCACCTGTGACCTCATGAGGCTTGGGGGGACATCTAGACACAAGCCATAACAATATTGTAACATCACCTTTTTCATCTCTAGTGTTATTAATGTGAACCCTCTTTTTCTGATTAGTTTGTGTAAGGGATTATCAATCTTGTTTATCTTTTCAAAGAAACAATTCCTTGATTCATTAATCCTTTGTAGTGTTTCAGTCTCCATTTTATTTATTTCTGCTTTGGTTATTTATTGTCTACTATTGCTTTTGGGTTTTGTTTTTGTTTTTCTAAAATCTTCAGATGCATTATTATTAGGTTATGTATTTGAGATCGCTAGTTTTTTTTTTTTTTTAATGTAGGCCCCAAATAGTTACAAAATTGCCTCTTGGGAATGCCTTCTCAGATTCTGGTCTGTTGTACTCCTATTATCATTTGTTTGAGGAAAATTTTAAATTCTCCCTGGTTTATTCAGTAACCCATTAATTGTTCAAAAGTTCATTATTCACTCTCCATATCTTTGTATTTCTTTTATTGATTTCTAGTTTCTAGCATGTGGAGGTTCTTTTCTGCTTAGGCTTTTTATGATTCTAAATGCTCCAGTACCTGGATGTCCACATTTTTCTCACAATTTGGGACATTTTCTTTTTCACTGAGAGGACTTTCTGTGCCTTTAGTCTGTATCTCATACCCCTCTTATAGTCCAAAAACTCAAACTCAGTTTTTGAACCTATCCCTGAGGTCTTATATGTTTTTGTAATTTCTTATTTTATTTGTTGCTGTCTGAATTTAATAATTTGTCTTCTTTATCTTGAAGTCTTGAGATTGTGTCTTCTGCTTTATCATGCTTGCTGATTATACTTTCCACTGAATTTTTAATTTGTTTTATTGAGCTTTTCATTTTTGATATTACTTTTTCAAAATCATTTCTTTATTAAAATTATTTCATTCAGTTGTTTATTTGTATCTGCTTTGAGTTTGTTGATCATTTTTATAATCGTTCTTTTGAATCTTCGGTATTTCTTCCACTTAGACATCATTGGAATCTTTTACTGTGAAAGTGTTAATTTTTGAAAGATTCATGTTGCCTTATTTTTTCATATTTTTCTGTTGATATTTGTTCATCTGTTCAGATGGTATTCTTTTATTTCTTTATGTATGGACGTTGATAGGGGGACAGGTTTCTCTCGCTCATGTTCCCTATGCTGTCTGTTGTGTAGTGTTGAGTTTAATTCTAACTGGATATTGATGTGTGTTTCTCTCTGGCTTGTGTGTTATTAGTGGGACTTGACACTGAATATACCAAGTCAGAGATGGATGACTTACTTTCTCCATAAATCTTAAAAGTGTGAGACCTGTCTGATTGTTGAGTCAGGTGTGCTTTAACCAGTGGGGTGTGTGAAAGTGGACTCTGTTTTTTTCTCTGATTCTGTCAAATTGGTGTGGATTGAATGAGTATGGGTTCTCTCTATGCTAGAGTCCTTCGTATGTTTTAGTGTTTCTTTCTGCTACTGCTATGGTGGTAAATTTTCAGAAGCAAGACTTCGCTAAATATGGACATACAGGTATGTCTTTTGTATGTTAACTTCATTTCCTTCAGATGCATGCATGCACGTGCATATACGGAGTGTGATAGCTGGATCAGATGGTAGTTCTTTTTTTTAGGAGTGGCTGTACCAATTTACATTCCCATCACCAAATTTATATATATTTGGTTTTTTTCCCCCTCCATAACCACACCAGCGTTTGTTATTTGTTTCAATTTTTTTTAATAGTAGTCATTCTGAGGGGGGTAAGACGAAATCTCAGTGTAGTTTTGATTTACATTTCCTTGATGGCTAAAAATATTAAGTAGTTTTTCTTCTATTTATTTACTTACTATTTGTATTTCTTTTGAGGAGTGTCTATTCAGGACCCTGGATTGTGATTTCTTTTTTTTAAAAAAGAAGTTCTCTGCATTTTGAAATAAAATCAGGGGTTAAAACCAGCCAAGATGCACGACTGGAGTCAGTCAGTCCCATGGAAATAGTGCCACCGCTCCCTCACGGAGGAGCAGGGAAGAAGTGAAGGCTGCCGGGAAGTCCTCACAACTGCTCTTTGTTGCTTTTTCTATTGTGTTTTTGCTGTTTGCCTTCCTATGCTTTTTCTTATTTACTTTTCTTCCTGAGTTTTGACAGAGGTTCTTGAGCTTCTTTTTGGAAGGCAGCACTTTAATTCTTTTCTCTTTGAAGACTTCAGTTCTGCGATCGAATCTTTTTCCCTTGGAACCCGGAGGTGAGGGTGACCTGCATCTGCTCTTAGGCCCACCGCCCCCTCTCCATCTCCACTGGGAGTTACAGAGTAGTGTTTTCCTTAGGCGTTCTTGCCAACCAGAAGTCTGCTGGGTTTATTCAGGTGAGAAAGTGGAGGTAGGAGAGAGCAAATAAGATCTTTCTCCCTTCCCCTCTGCTGTGTGAGATTTGCAGAAGTACCCAGCAGTCTCTGGCTCTGCCCGTTTGTGATTGTGGCCTTGATTCCGTGGGTCTGGCAATATCTCTTCTTTCCTATGATCCTCCGACCATAGAAAGTAGGGAAAGGAATAAGCTGGCTTCCAGCTGATATTAATACCTGGGCTGTCTCATTCTTCGCAGTTTGGCTTCCAGATTTTCCTTGTCTTTGTAACTAATTCCATGTTCCAGTCTATCCCATTGAACTATCTAGGATGGCTCTAGTTTCTATTTACATACTTCTTTCTTCTCTACCTATTTTCATCTTACACTATTACCTTGTCTTGCACAGTTACTCATTTCATATAGTTCATGTATTTTTGAATTTTAAGATGAATCAGATGCTTCTTGAATTTTAAAGGTTCTTCAGTAAACATTTTCAGGAGTCAGCTTTCTGTGGTGTCTTGATTACCCAGGCTTTTTGGTCCTCTCTCCTAGGGCCATATGATGTTAGTTTCTCTTGCTTATATGCTCGTTTACAGGATGCCCAAACACCTTGAGTTTTGCACTGTCCAAGTTCGTTCTGTTAGATTATTCTTATGATTTTTTGGTGGCAACAGACTTTAGCCAAGTTTCTGTTTTCTAGAGATTATTTAGTCCCATTGATGTAGTTTGTCCCGATTAAAAAGAAGGGTCTTTTATATTTTTACTTCCTGGTTTGGGTTCCTGCAATTTTATGAGTTATATGGGGATTAGAAAATATAGTTTGTAGAAATTTGCATGTTAAAATTATGTATTTGGACCACCAAAGTTACATTATGACCTTATAAGCTTTTGCAGTGTATACTACTACTCTTAACATTTCATATCTTAACGTATGCACATACAACACTAATAATAGTTTGTTTAGCAGATATAAAATAACATTACATAGCCCTATTTATTGACATATAAATAGCTGTTGAAGTTGCTGCAATTGTAGAACTAAAAGGCAATATTTTACTTAACAATTCTTGCTTTGTTAGTGCACAATCTTATACATACAGTTTTTGTTTTTATAAAATACACGTGTAGAAAGCACAGAGAAACAGCAGGAAGTGGCAGGAAACTGTAGGAGCTGCGCTTGGCACCTTGCAAAGTAGCTTTGGTCGAGGCAGGATGTTATAATGAGTAGGAACCCTTTGTATACACAGCTACAGTTCCCCTCAGTGGATATCTATGTAACACAGTCTGTTGGGCCCTGGGAGTTTCCGTAACTTGCAGCAGGCTGTAATGTGTCCCTTGCCCAAACTACATTGTTCTGAATTGTTGAGTGCTCCCTTGGCTTGTAGTCTGGGCACCATCCCGCAGTTTAGGGGTGATTTCCGCAGTCTCTGGGGCTTACATTTGTTCTTTTCAAACTATGCTTTCAGGAAAAATTCAGATGTTGGATTCCTTCATACTTAGCTTAGGATTCCTGGTGACAGAGATGACTGTAAAGCACTTGATTCAACAGGAGGTGAGTTACAGGTAACAAAACAGGTAATAGCTGCTCCAAAACCCTCAGAGAAAGTGGTGCACAGGTCTGTTTTGTTTCTTCCCTGTGAATGCTGTCTGCAATTCCACACAGGCTCTGAGGACTTTGAACAGCATTTTGCATGGAGTACCTCGGGAAGAGAGGAAAAAGCTCGTTTTGGCGGAAGGCGTGTGTCATCTTATGTAAGTGACCTTGCACTTGATTATGGGATGTTGAAAAGGCAAAATCTCTTGGGATTGTACTTGTCTGTTCTCCTTAGACCTGAGTACTCAGAGCTCTCTTCTGTAGGTGCTTTGGGCCCCTGCTAGGGCTCAGGCACTGAGTAAGCCAGGGTACAAGGACTTGGGACAGAAGGTAGACTTTGCTAGCCTCCTCATTCTCAATAGTACAGCGTGAGTTTTGTATTTTATTTTTGCATTAAATTTGTGAGACAAATTGTCTTCTTAGGTGACAGATTATTTTTTTCACCACGCATGTGGACCTTAGCAGTGCATGGGATAATGTCAGGAATATAGACCCTTGAGCCAGGTTGCTTGGCTTCAGGTCCTGGTTTTGCCACTTGTTTAGGGTACTTTGGTTTGCTCATCTATAAAATGGAATGAACAAAATGCCTACTTGACAGAATTACTGTCAAGGTCAAATCAGACAATGTATTTAGAATGAGGAGCCCATTACCTGGTAGAGAGTAAATGCTTCAAGGTTACTAATTCTTAGGTAACGCCATAGGACATGAAATTTGTATGACTTTTCAAGTGATGGATATTTTGGAGGGGTTTGTTGGCTCAGTTGAAGTTTCATAGTTTTGGGGGGCATGAAATTTGGTGGCACTGTTTAATATGTACACAAGGAAAGAGCAGAACCAACGCCCTGTTTTGACATTTGAAGCTAAACATGTAACTGCACTAATCGTCATTGTGTGATAAACAGGCATAACCAAGGAGCTTACTACAGTGCAAAGCCTAAGAGAAATGTTTGGTGAGCAGGGAGCTCATTGCCATCCTGTTTCTCTGGTTGTTTTTGCAGGATGTAGTTATTCCATTAAATTAAAAAAAAAGTATTGAATGTGTTGGTGAAATCGTTACTCTTATTGGTGTGTTTAGATTTGGAGAGCTACTGACCTGATGTTTTCTCACTAATCCTATGGTCATATTACCTTGTTTCCAGAAAAGTCTAGAATGCTCTGGACCTCAAATCAAAGGTTAACAATCTGTTTCCAGAAAAGTCTAGAATGCTGTGGATCTCAAATCAAAGGTTAACAACCTGCAAACATAAAATTAAGCAAAACTCTCCATGGTACTGTTTTGAGGGTTGTATTTAATAGTAACATATCTTAGATCTATTCTTTAAAATTGGTGGTTTTCAGACATTAAGGAAAAGATTGATATCATACCTGTAAGCATTTAGTTGAAATTCTAAAATGAATATGTAATAATAGTTGAATCCTGTTATACTTGACATTAAATTGATCATTTTTAAATGTCATATCAAACAGCTGCTAGGAAAGATGATCACAGGATGGTTTCATATCTGCCAGGTGTCACTCTATAAAAGGACACCCATCTTCATAGGCTAATGAGGTGACTGCTTACAAAACCCCAGAATTGTACCACTACATGAATCCCCATATATCGTCGAATGAAACTCACTTTATGGAATGGTAAATAGAATCTGAAAATGTATAATTGCTGTAGCTAGCATACATTGTATTTAAGAAATGACAAATACAGTAGATAATTGCTATATGAACTCAAAAATTTTCTCATAACATGTATTGTGGACATTGTAGAAGTTTTGATGCTGAATATGGAATAATTTCAGAGTACGTATCTTAGCTTTAAAATTGAATGCCAGTTTAATAAGGTTTTACTTTCTGCTGCTCATTTCAGTAAAATGTAACTTGTCTTAATGTTTCAGGAAAGACTTTGCAAGGACAATCTTGACCGTGGGTGGTAAGAAGTATTTAGAGTTTAAATACTTAGAATATTAAATATCGGCCCTGGGTTTTATGAGCATCTTGGAACTGTGCGGAATAAATTATCGTCAAACAAAAGAGATAAGAGTTACGGTTTTACTTTTTAACTTGCTGAAAATTATAGTGAATACTGGATACTCATTTACTTGCCAGGCAATTATGTCAAATTTTAGAATTTTTCCATATTTGCTGAAAATTAAATGCTTTGAAATCAGTTACAAATGAGGTCCGTGCCTCCAATTCTGTTCCCCTCATTTTGATTTGTGTTTTTCACCCCAAGCATATTTTTAAAACTGTTTTCTGTGTATTCCTAAATAACATACATGATTGTTTTGCAGATTTTAAGGATGTTATGTATGTGGTAAAATAAAGAAATACAGTAAATGTTTGAACTTTAAAAAATTATTACATTAAAATAATTGAACCTAAACATGTAACTGCACTAACCATCACTGCTATTAATCCTCCTCAGCATACTTTCCCTTGCTTTGAACACACTTATACCATCTGTCTTGCCACTTTTGGAAGCAGTTCTGCAAGTTCTCTTTTGTGTCTCTAATTAGTTGTGCTGTTGTGAGTGCCTGCATGTCCTGAATGGGTTCAAAATATTTACAGCAATTTCTGTCAAATAAAAACATGATGGGTGTTCTCATCTACTTTATTCACCAGATATGGTACTGTTTTACTTCTGGCTCTCCCTCAAAGTTGAAATAATCACAAATGGTAAGTGTTTTGAATCCATTCAGGACATCAGGGCAGCTGTGACAGTATAACTAAAGATACTCACAGGAGGACCTCCAAAACTGCTTCCAGAAGTGGCAGAATGACAGAACAAGTGTGTTCAAATGAGGGAGAGTTTTATGAAGAGTATTAATGGCAATGTGTATCTTTTACTGTAATTTTTCAATTTAAACATTCACCGTATTTTTTTAATCACATTTCATAAATGCCATCAAGTTGGCTATATCCAGTTACAGCTCCCTTTTTATCCTTAAAATTAATTGAGAGTTGAACATATTGATACACATAGTTTTAGTTTATCTGCTGTGAAATAGCAGAAAGTATGTTGGGATTTTACTTTTGTGGTAGAAATATTTTTAAGGCTGTTTGATCCAATTCGATGAATATTTAATAAGCTTAAAATATAAAAGCCAGAAATACATATTTTGAAAAATTGTTATATGCTGACTTATTTAGATTTTTTCCCCTAACAATACTTAAAAATACTTTAAGTGATTATAGCTACTTCAGAGTACATCTTGCTGCTTATAAGATACAATGCCAATCTATTTCTTAGAGCAGGTACTAGCTTTGCGACTCATGTTTTCTCTTGCATGGTGCCTGGAATTATCTATGTCTGCTGTATTTTTAATGTCTAGATTATGACCAGCAGGTTACTCTTTCTGAGGCACTGTGTAGAATGACAACGAGAACATCAAGGGATGACCTTGTCCACCAGTGGTTTGATGATGATGTCCTTGCTGAAGGCTTCAAAGAAATTAAGGATCGAGAATTTGAGACGGTGAGAGTCCTATAGAGTCAGTATTTATGAAGCAGTTTCTCAGTATTTTCCTGTGTGTTAGCCTTAGGGAAGGATTTTTTTCCCTGTAAATGTGATTAAGTTGATTTCCCATTTCCCATATCAGAGGAACAGTTTTTTTTTTTTTTTGGTTTTTCTCCGGTACCGGGAACCGAACTCACGACCTTGCGCTTGCCAGGCTTGCGCTTTTGCCGCTGAGCTAAATCCCCAGCCCCAGAGGAACAGTTTTAAGGCAACATGAATAGAATACTTGGGGGCTGGGTAGCAGAACATAGATAGATAGGATTTATTAGAGATAACTGAGACTGGAAACCAAATTTATGACTTTGGTGGATCCATCAAAAGAGTGGGGAAGGGGAAACAGTTTCTGATGGATCTTGACGAGGAGAGAGACAGCTGGAGAAGGCTTTTGAGCCTGGCAGAGAGCAGCTGTGACAACGGCAGGTGCTAACAGAAGCCTGGTGCGCTCCAGTGGCTGCAGAGTATCCTCTGCAGTTTAGAGGAATGATACTTACTATTATCTCCTGTGCAACTGGGCTTCCTAGTTGAAGCACAAAAATAGCCATGGCTTTGTTGTGTCTCTATATCCATCCTAAAAGAGCTAAAATAATTTCTTTCAAAGAGTTCTTAAAAGGAGGGTCAGGAAAAGGCTACATTCATAATAGTGCTTGTGTTGGCAAAGACTTTCTGATAAAAAAAAACTGCCAGTGATTCAGATTTTACTAAATGTGAATCTTTATGTTTATCTCAGCCTGAGATATTGCCATATATATGGTATTTAGCCTGATCTACTTCATGGAATGATCATGAGTTCGGGGCCTTCTCAGACTTGGCTTTGAGTTGCGCCTCCCTGACTTCAGTGCAGTTTGGCAGAGTACTTGATTTGTGAAGCCTGAGTAAAATGGGGATACAGTGATGAGAATTCAGTGAGAGAAACTGAAAGAGCCTGGGATATTTGAACACCTGAATATTACTTTCCCCTCTCCTCTGTGTCATTCTCACACATCTAACAGGGAATTTCAATGAAAAGTTAGCTTGTTCCCACAATCACTTCCCCTTAAGCCATCAGCTCGTTAAGGGAATGGCTTTTAGATGAAAGGGGTACACTGCTGCTGTGTACTGAGTGTTGAATTGAGACACAGAGTGTGAGGAGCGTTTTGCCACAACGGCCAGGCCTTGCACACAAACCAAAAGGAACGCATGTCTGGACCTGAGTCTCTTTGCCTTGAGGATGTTGGGGGCAACCAATTCACCATCCGGAAGGCTGTTGGTTAGGAGAACTCTTAAACAGTGGGTTTTGTTCTTAGTGCCTTTGCAAAGAGAGCGAGCCGAGGAAGGAGTGGCGTGGAGAACTCCCAAAAAGAAGTGGCAGTGGGAGAGCCATCTAGGTCCAGCCACAGCTGACACATTCTGTGGGTCTGTGGTTGGTTTGTGTTGCCGAGGCGTGATGGAGGTGGATTCCGTCAGCTTAGTCCAGTAGTGTAGTGTAGGTCATTATGTGTGTTTTTCTTATTTTTCTGTCCCAGTGGAACATTCATGCATGTAACTTTTGTGGACCTAAGTATTCTTCAGATGAAAATTTAATGCTGGGGTTGGTGGTGGTTCCCTCCAGAAGCATGTGCCTGGAGCCTTTTCTTTGTAGTGTAAGATACTGTTAACATAAAGTGGTGAGTCTTTGTGAAGCCTCACGATGTTACTGGCCCCTGCATGCATAGAAGCAAACATTGGCCTCTATGTGCTGTTTAAGGTAGTATTACATAGGATAGCTTGATTTCTTTTCTCTAATAAAAAGTTTGCATTATTTTGAAGGACAGTCGGAGGTTTCTCAATCACCTAAATGACAGACTTGGTGACCAAAGAAGGTAGGATGTCTCTCTGGCCATTGTTTTATGAACTAGGAATACTCTGGAAATGTCTGATATTTTAAAAGAATGTTTAAAGTCTGTCTCATTTTAGGAAAGAATGTAGGATCCATCTTCTACTGAGTACAGCTAGGTGGTTCACTGATTGGATATATGGGAAGATCAGACCCTCTCTGCCTAGTGGCTCATCTGAGTATGCTTACAAATTATATCTAACTGTTGTTAGCATATTTATCTGAGATTTGAGCTATTGGTCACACTACATCCTTTAGAGAACCCGCAGTCTTTACAAAGAGAAATTTCATGCAGATCTGAGGTCACCGGAGATATGTACATTATGGACTTATGGAGAATTAAATTCTTGATGAGACAGTATTTGCTAAGTTTACTCCTTCCCTTGGGAATCTTGCCAAGTAATTTGGTTGAGGTGTAATATCGGTAAGCCTGGCTTATAGTTAGACATTTGAAATTGGCTCAGAGTTTATCTGTACTTGCAAGCTTGAAGTCCCTTATCATACTCCATATGAGACCTAATGGTACACCTTAGTTGCAAATGTTTGTTGCAAAACATCTGCAGATTGTGTTGGGGTCTATGCCTATAATATTTTTTTAATTGGGAAGTGTTTTGCAGGGTCTTTTCATTTCCATGTGTTGCTGCTTTCGCTGATGGGCGTGAGGTATGTTGGTCTCCCTTGGGGGTTGTGAGGGTGGTATGTGGTAAAACTCACACCGAGGTTATATAGTTAGGTGAGACTTCTGTTCTTGTACACAAGAAAGGGCTCTTTAATAAAGGATGCTAGCTTCTCCTAGTGATCCCATCTTTCGAATCACTTATACCATAACCAGGATGCATTATGAGTTTAAAGGTTCAACTTTACTCCTGGGAAAAGGATTTTGAGGGTCTGTACTATACACATGAGGTCAGTTGTAGACATCTTGCCACATTTTACCTTATTCATGGGCAACGTTACTTGTCCTTTGAGGACAAGGGTGATTTCATGCTTCTTTTGATATTTTCCTCTCTTTTCCCAGCACTTGAGGCCATTTCCCTTTCTCTACCTTGGATAGTATACTACCAAGGATAGTATATATACTGTATACTGTACATAGTATACTACCTATGTGTACTACCATGTATACATGGTATACTACATACGTAGTATACATAGTATATGCATACATAGTATGCATATACTATGTATACTACCATGTATACTACCATGTATACTATAGTATACCGTATACATAGTATACTGGTAGTATACTACCTTGGATAGTATAATGCAATGTGTATCAGTACAAGCTGCCCTCACAGGTGGAGCACCCTTAGCACGGTGCCTCACAAGTATGTACTTTCATCCTGCCTTGTGCCTTGTAATCCAGGTGGACCAGTTCATTTTTCATTTCCTTCTTTGGTTTCTAGATGAGGAAGTCCCTCCCTATCAAAAGTTCCCAACCTAGAGCATCTGTAGGTCTACGGAGGTATCAGATCTTGGCTGAGTTTTCCTGAGCTTCACAGCATCCGTTGTTTATTTAGCCATTTCTTTTTTTTTTTTTTTTTTGGTTTTTCTCCGGTACCGGGAACCGAACTCATGACCTTGCGCTTGCCAGGCAGGCGCTTTGCCGCTGAGCTAAATCCCCAGCCCTATTTAGTTATTTCTTTATTTGCAGTTCAGAGTCCTCTTGTTACCCTCTGTGAGCTAAGCTTTCAACTGGGGCTATACCACAAGACCTTTCTCTTTAGAGCTGGTTTCTGTAGACTAATTTTTCTCTCTCAATTCCAACTGATATTCCTCCGATTTTCTGCTTGGTCCTTCCTTCTAGGACTTTCCAATTCTCAGCAGGGTTCACTAGGGCCCTTACACATACCCCTCTGTATGTTTTGTTTTTTTTTTTTTTTTTTTTTTTTAAATTCAGTTTTCTTTTCTTTCTTTTATTTTTTGTACTCTGAATCGAACTTGGGACCTTGTGCTTGCCAGGCAGGGACTTGTGCTGCTGAGCTGTACCCCCGGCCCATCCCCTCTGTAATTAAGATCCTTCATTCAGCTCTGTAGGTGATAAAACATAAGCATGAAAGATGAAAAGGAAAGATGTCCAGGCAAGGCTGTTTGTTGGAAAAGCAAGTGGTGGAGTAGTAAATCTAGTGCTTGCTCCATTGTTGTGGAATAAAAATGTTATAAATTGAGTATCCCTAGTCCAAAAATATGAAACACCTTCAAATTATGTCTAAAGGTGTCTAGGAAACGTGAATGAATTTTGTGTTTAGCCTTAAGTCCCATCCCCAAGGTAGCTCATGATGTATATACAAATGTTCCAAAATCTGGAAAATTCAAAACCTGACACACTTCTGGTACCAGTCATTTTCGATAAGCGATACTCAACTATGTTCCTGATATTTGTCTAGAGAACCTCAGGGGGTAGGGGACAAAGGCACTGTTAATGCACCTATGATACATATTTGTAATGTAGACGAGGCAGAGGAGGAGATGTTTACATTTCTATAAATGTCACACTGACTCTTTTTCTTTTATGAAATACATGTTTGTAGTAATCAGTAAAATAAAAGTAATTTTAACTCTGCAAGTCTGAGCTCTACTGTAATGTATAGTAACTTAGATAACAAGTCACCTTTTATCTTTTTGATCCCAAAATCTCCTTTTCTAGAAGCTTCCATCCTTATGCAGTCTGGAGTTTTCAACAGAGAACAAATTTGCTCTTTGATTCTTACCAGAAAACAGGTGTCTGACCTATTTAAATATCTATCAGATATGCTCAGGACAGCAGGATTTTATTGGAAATGGCTCCGTTGTGTAGAATTAAGGTCTCCTGTTTCACACAAGTGAGGTCAGAGAGAAGTCCTGTGTTGTTAGGATAATGCTATTTTGGGAAAAGCACAAGTTCTGTCCTTTATGAATAATTTTTGTCTGACCCTTTGATGTGATTCTTCTGTATATAATTCATACTGGAATTCTTTTCCAGATGAGAAAACCAGCAGATGAAAAATTAGAGAAATTTTGGATTGATTTCAACCTAGGGAGTCAGAGTGTGACTTTTTATATAGACAGTGCTGAGGTAATGAATGAAGTTTAATTCCTGATAGAACTAAGCACTTACAGAGTGTATATTTGTAAATGTGTGTTATGTGCTCATGGACTTCACTTCTTTCCCAAGAGTGCTCTGTGGGAGCCAGTCAGACTTGTGAAGGAAGCCATAGTTAACTTCAGCATTATAGGTAAGATGATAATTTTAAACTACTGTACCCAACATTGATGCCCGAATATTATTGCTGTTTGTGTTTGCTCTGTGTGTTTAGTTAATTCTAGGAGAGATTTCATCTTCCTTTGCTAGAAGGAAGGCTGGGTAGGACAGTGGAAGGAAGACACATTGTGCACAAGATCAAGATCTGGAGTCACCATGTTGTGGGTCCTTTGCTTTGTGACTTCAGAGCTCAATTACTTTTCTCGTTTCTTCAGTGTAAAAATGGTTAAAGTCTTCACATGATTAAAAGCCAGCCTGGTGTGTTGGTGCATGGCTGTAGTCCTAGGACTCTGACAGGCAGAGGCAGGAGGATCTTAAATTCAAGCCCAGCGTGGGTGACTTGGTGAGACCCTGCTTCAAAATGAAAGGGCTGAGGATGTTACGCAGTGGGAATGATTTGGGTTCAATCTCTAGCACTGCTAAAATAAAAAGGCAGAACTGCCATATGATCTAGTGATTCCACCTCTAAGTATATATACAAAAGAACTGAAAAGAGGATCAAAAAAGAGATCTCTGTAAACTGTGTTCACAACAACATTATTCAGAATAGGTGGAAATAACTCAGATGTCCACTGAGGAATAAATGGGTAAATAAAATGTGAGATATATATAAAATGTGTATATATATATATATATATATATATATATATATATATATATATGCAGAGTCTACCAAAAATGTACACACACTTCCAGAAAACAAAAACTTGTATAAATATTTTAATAGTAAATTTATCAAGACATCATGAGATTAATACAAGGTACTTTTGGTGTCTGTAATCCAAGAGATGCTCAAAGTGGTGGCCGTGAACTTCCAGACATTTATTAATAGGTGAACTGCTGCTTGCGTAACCTTGTCACTGAGACTGTTGAACATGCAATTTTAATTTCTTCTCTAAGGGCTGGCAGGGTAGTGGGTGTTCTGTGACAAACTACATCCTCCAGGGTCCCTTATATGAGGGTGACACCATCTGTTGAAAAAACACTGTACTAGTTTTCTTTTCCTGAAGTGTATAATATTTTTGGTGGTCTTGCTTGGTTGGTCGTTTTGTCTGTCTGTCTGTCTGTTGGTCTGTTGCTCTCTTATATATTTTCAGCTTGAAAAAAGAAGGAAAGTCTGACACATACCACAACCTGGATGAACCCTGAGAACATTGTGCCCCAAAAGACACACACACTATGATTCCACGTGGTGTCCATAGTTATCCACAGCCCAGAGATGGGAAGTGGAATGCATGGTGGTTGTCAGGGGCCGTAGGAGGGAGACAGGGAGAGTTGTTCAATGGGCAGTTTTCATTTTGCAAAATGAAAAAATTCTAGAGATCTTCTGTATAATATGAACAAACTTAACACTACATTTACTGCTTTCATATATCAGTTAAAATTAAATTTAAAAAACAACAATTACAAAGACAAATTTTATTTTACATAGGATTTTTTTGGGGAGGTGATCACAGTTTAAAAAATGGTTTTAGTATGTGTCCACCCTGTTCCACAGAGCAGCAGTGATGGTAGGTGAGTTTCCATGGTCTGTGTCCCTTCTCTTAAAATTTTAGCCTTCAGCCCCCTCACTCCCTTCCATCCTTTACTGCTTCCAACTGACTTTGTATGTTATTCTTGAACTCTATGAATTTCAGTCTAAGCTATCTTTTCTTTTAAAATTAATCACCATTTATCAGGGCCATCCTGGAAGGAGGCCCCAAAGCACGCTTTGGTCTGAGCTAGATGTCTCACCACAGTACTTTCATTTCTTCTTGGAGGAGTCTACTGAAATGGAGATGGATATTCTATTTAGCATACTGAACTCTAGAAATAAGTGAATTTCCAAGAGAGAAGAATCAATATTGTACACAGTGTATTTGGAAGCAAAATACTTGTTCCATAAACAGAATGCTGTTAAATATTGAATTGCTAAAGACAAACATATCTTCATTTCTTTGCTAGTAAAGGAAGCTACTTCCTGTTGTTGAAATCAGCCACCTAATCATATATTGTGTTGATGTGTGTGCATGTATACACACACATATATATGTGCATCTAATATAGTAATTTCAGAGTAATTTTATTTAATGCCATTTCTTTTCCACCTATCAAAGAAAAGTCTGGGAATTTGACAGATTTTCAAATGCAAACATCTAAATTAAACTTCTCAGTATGCTGATATGCACTATATACTATATTTTTGTTAGAAAATGAGCAAGTGAAGATACTCATCATTTACCTGAAGGAGCCTCTTGTTATCAGTAAGAAAGAAGCGATGAAAGTAGAGATCCATTTTGACCTGCAAGTCCACATCTCCCAAGCTTCTGCTCAAGCTTTAGGAGAAGACAAACAGGTGCCAGCTTCATTCTTATTGATTATTTGAAAATGTTGTAGCATGTTTCAGGCCTCTTAAATTTCCTGGTTGGGTTTTGGTGTGAACATTTGGTCAAGGAAAAGACCTGATCTTTAAACACCCGAGGCAAGGCGCACAGTGCTGCTCCAGTCTCATTGGGCGCCCAAGGCAAGCCCCGGGGACAAGCTGTTAGGCTGAGGGGTTTTGCTTGATACTCAACCTTCGAGTGTATAAACAGCTGCAGCTGTTGGGACCCTCCCTCCCCCTCTCTCCCCCTCCCTC